TTGAAAACTCTTGACAGTAAATTACACTTTGATATACATATTAATAATATTGTCAACAAGGCTTTCAAAATGTATGGCTTTGTCATCAGATCTGGTGTAAAGTTTAAACAGAGCTCAACGTTCAGATACCTTTTTGTGTCTTTAATTCGCTGTCAACTAGAATATGCTGTAACAATATGGAATCCTTTATACGAAAAATACAATCTTGTACTTGAAAGAATACAAAAGAAATACCTTCGATACATACATTACAAATGTCACCATAAACGTTTATCGTACAAACTGTTACTTAACAAATATAAATTAACTGACTTTCGATCCAGACGTATACAACTTGAAACTATGTTGCTACATGATATTATTACACAATAGATATGATTACACGGAAATTACTAATAAATTAAGATATAGTGTACCCACAAGATCGTTAATGAGATCTTCGCGAACGCATAAATTGTTTGCAATCAAGCCTTGCCGAACCAATGCAGATATTCGGTCACCAATTAACAGAATGCTAAAATTATATAATGAAAACTTCAACGATCTGGATATCTTTTCACTAAGGCATGATAAGTTTCGAGGGCTTGCTGTTGATATGCTCAGCTCAGCCCCGTAAGTTCCACATGTAATTGATATCACACACCTGCTCTGTAGATGCACCCACTCGCGAGAAATGCCTCTGAACCCAAGGTTTCACTTCGATCACCGTAGGGCGGACAGGTGTGGTATCTCTTGCATATCACCAACCAACATGCACGGTTGGGTTGTTGAAATTATGTAGGTACAAAATATTGCTTTGTATAAGTTATTTTACATGCATACTTAGTTAAAATTATGTAAAAGACGAACTCCACCTTAACACTAGTTGATAAGTAAACTGAGACCAGCGCTGTTGGATTCATAATAATAATGTACATTATTTTATACTATCTTCTTTATATAAATTCTGATTGTGAATCTGTTTGTGGTCCTATGAGAATAAATGAAAAAAAAAAACAACAGTAGACAGTGGCTAACATAAATATACCTATTGTTTCATGTAGTGTTGGATGAACCTATAAGCAAATGCTTAGGGCATCGAGTACAAAAAACTTTTTTTCGCGAATTCAAGCCGAGGGGGGTACTTGAATGTCCGGCTTTTAGGGTAAAATGTCCGTTCACAGCACCGAGTCCGGCTTTTGTGCTTTTGGACCTGTGCCCCGATTACGCTAATTTTTAACGTCTCCAATATTAAGTCTCCAGTTGCACTCCGTTTTTCATTCCAGCTGGGGTGCAAATTCGGTATCACGGTAATGGACGTACCTTCCTAGTATTTTCATTGTCACATGAGATATTTAGCTTTACGTTTGCATCTATGCTTCGTTTCAACTAGCTGTCAAAACGACACCGCGATACGGATTTGTCAAAACAGCTGATTTTCGTTCGTCGTCCGGGCACGTTGAAGATGAAAATTTTTAGCGTAATCGGGGCCCTGGCAACCCTGTACCCGGCACTATCCGTTTTGTACGTCACATTTAACTTGACGCTGCTGACCGTACCGGGGATACGGCGCGAAAAGATATACTGCGATGAATGTTTTTGTCGACTGTACTTTGTGTGGAGTAGAGATAGTTGAATGTAATAGGTTAATTTAGTTAACGACAGTTATTGTTTTTACTAAAAATAAACAAATTAAAAATAATTCAATAACTTTTTTTCGTCAGGAAATGCATGAAATTGCATACCCACTGGCCCGGGGGAACCAATGGGATATGTGAGGCTCTCCCTGCCAGATGAATTTTGACAGACTTTTGACGTTTGTTAAAATTAAAGTAAGATGGTTCAACCCAGCCTTAAAAGTTAGTGATAGAGATAGTTCTAGAATGTAATAGAAGAGAGTGATAAACAAATGAAACATCATTAAATATTTAAAGACCTATTTTGAAATTTCCTATACTTGCTCAAAGATTTTGATCTCGAAGCTGGTAGGACATGTAAAGGCTCCATATGGAGCAAAACTAAGTTTTTCATATTAGTCTTTTATTTTATTTTCTTTCGAAACCCTTGAAGATTTTGTTAAAACTATTTAATAGTCCATAGAAATAGTCATTTTTGACTTTGACACGTTGTAGATCTCCCAGCCAAACTAGATCCTGACTGTACAGAACTTGCAATGGGATTAGTCCTTTACGTTATTTGTCAGTGAATATCCATCACATAGTGCTCCCTTTTTCCAAAGGTCAGAAGCTACATACATAAACAGCACTCCCGTATCTCCTCCATTCATCAATGTCCACCCAGAGCAGAATATCTTGTTTGCAGACCACTTGGCGTAAAGAAGCCACATTTGAAGGACCCACGTTCTATAGAAAAATGTAAAATTATGATGAACTTACTCGTATGATCACCAAAAAATGTTATACCTGATTAATTGAGTTCTAAGCCAATATTATTTGACTGGGGAAGAACATAAATCGTAGCCTAACTTATAATTATCTGCCCATGTTTTCTTTATTTTATAAACGTTTAAAAATACCCTATGATCCCTGTCAGTAATTTTTTTTTTTACACTGAAAGCAACCACTACCAAAACGGCTAATCAAGTTGTTCCTTACAAAATAGAAAGATACTCACATTTGTACACCACACAAAATTTTGACAATCGGCAAGAAGGACACACAAGTGGAATGGCACAATTTAGAAGGGGTTATCTATAAGAACCTATCTCTACTAGATAACTCGGGGAGCGGTTAGTGCCCTAAAATAAAAACTTGTATTTTATTAAACCTACTCAACCCGTCTGGCCAGTGGGCCAAATCTTTAGTTAATCAGTTTAGTTCATCAGAAATGGTGGGTGTTGCAATAGAGGCTAAATGACATGACGATGATTACGATATCGTAATAGTACGTACCTATTTGGAAACAAAGTTATTCATTTCTTTAAGTATTCGATAAGGCATCTATAACACTAAATCGTCTGCGAATAGAATCAAACGTGTAGTGTTTGTATCTACGTACTAGATAGATACAATACGCTGTCTCACGTACACAAGTGTGGCTGTATTCTGGTAGAGGGTGGTGTTTAAGTAAATTTGGAAGAAGGTTTGCGTAATTTGGCCGGAAGGCCGTTCCAGAGCCGTACAGCGGAGACTAAGAAAGAGTTGGACATGAAGCCGGTGCTATGATGAGGGGTGGCAAGGCTGAAGAGTCTGACTAGAGCGAAGATTTCTATTGTGAGTGGAGTGGAGGTACTGAAATTTTTCTTTTAAATAAGATGGAGAGTCAGGATTGGAGAGAATCGAATGAAGCATACAAAGTGAACGAAGATATCTACGCTGTCTGATGGGAAGCCAACCAAGCTGCGAGCGAAAAGGGGAGATGTTCTGAGGTGAGATACTTCTGGGTGGTGCAGTCGGATCTTGCTGTGTTTAGCAAAGATCATAAAGCCATTGACTGTTTGACTTAGGTTCCCGAGCCTGTAGCCGTATTCACGTAACAAAACTTCAACGGCATGCAAGCGATTTGATAGCTGGTGTCACTTTTCGTATTCACGTGTTAATCGCCCGATTTTGTTTTGATTTCGTTTTTATGCGTATTCAATCGTAGTCTCGGCAGTATTCACCTATTACCTATTTTGAAATTTGGTTCAAGTGATTAAACGTCAAATGACAAACCGCTGAGTTGGGATCCTATCGATTTAGAACTGTTTTCATTAGGACGTCGGACGATGTGTCAAAATACGTGAATTAGGCCACTGTTGTTTAATTGATATTTTAGAGAAAATTTTGGTAATTTTGCTCAATGATTTGTGGATCTCAGTGATCTTCAATGTTACAATTAATTGGAATTGTTATTAGTAGTTGATTGGAATCGTAAAAGCTAAGTAGCTAAAAATAGGCTATGGTTACAAGTTAGTAACATAAGATATTTAGTTAGATGGGTTTTATTTGAAAGAGTAACTAGTAGTAGGTACTAAAAGTTTAGTTTTCTTGCTCTGAAAGCATACATATTTTATATTTCATGAAGAAAGATTGGCCGAGCGGATACTGGCTGTTCTTCTTAGTTTTTCAAAGGAACATACGAGGACGCATGTAGCGCAGGATGGCCGTGTTGCAGACAGTCGTGAGCGCGTGCACTTAACTGGAATACGTGCGCGGCACCTGGAGGCGAATCGGCACATCACCGTTGGACGCGTTTCCGCAGAGCCATAATGATCATAGCAAGATGGATCGAACTGACTTTCAATCCTGACGCCGACAAGAGAAGAGATCATCGCTTGAGGCTCATTAAATTGGATATATACTGATATCCGTTAAATTGGATGTACCCGTGATATCCATTCAATTGGATGTACCCTGACTTCCATTAAATTGGATGGACCCTGATATCCATTCAATTGGATGTACCCGTGATATCCATAAAATGGGATGTACCCTGATATCCATTCAATTGGATGTACACTGATATCCATTCAATTGGATGTACCCTGATAACCATTCAATTGGATGTACACTGATATCCATTAAATTGGATGTACCCTGATATCCATTCAATTGGATGTACCTGTGATATCCATTAAATTGGATGTATTTTTTTTTCAGGCAACTGATATCCATTAAATTGGATGTACCCTGATATCCATTCAATTGGATNGACGAAAATTTCTGTGTTCTGGTCTTATCCAGAGGTTCTCAAATAGGGGCCTGAAAATGCGGCGAAATGGTTCCAGTAAAGGATGGTACGGCAGTGTTTGCTTCGCGCTCGACTTGGCGGGGGCACTGCCGTGCCCCCAGATTTTCAAACCTTATTCCTGCGGTAAATTCTTTGCCAGTGGGTTATGTCATAAGTGTGACTCTCCTCTAGAAGAGCGGAGCCTACCCACTAAAACCCGACGGTGTTCTTTGAGGTCATTGAAACAGATTCGCGAGTTATTGTCAGTCGTCCGATTCTCAGTGCTTTGATTGACTCCTCATCACCTCAATTTTATTGTTACAACTCATAGAATAAGTAGCTCACCATAGAGAGGACCTAGGAAAATTTAATCTATTATTGTTTGTTGCAGCAACGACAGCTGGCAAAGAGAGGAGGTCGCCGGAGCAGGAAGAGGTCAGAGCCTCCCCCACTCCTGGACCTCCCAGCCCACAGAACAACGGAACTACAGGTATGAAACAACAACTGATTGCATAAGATAAGAACATCTCTCCACTATCCTATGGCCATACCAATCCAACGGTTAAATATCTGGCTGAATCAAGAGAAATGTACGCGGAATTGCAGCTGCTTTTGGCAGATTGCAAAGAGAACATTGAAAATGTGTCGCTCACGTAATTTTGTGTGAAGAATGACAACATCTTCGAATCCTAAAAGCCCAAGTGCAAAACATGTTTAGTTCAATACGGAATTGGGGGCCATGTACAACTCTCGTTCCCACCGTTGCAAATCCTGTGTAGCCAGGATCTACAGCTTGACTGCTAATAAAACTCAACTAGTGAAGGCCATGTTTGTCCCGAGGGAATGTTAAACCGTCATTGGACCCGCAACGTAATTAATCAGAAGAATATAGGAGGAGTTCGAAGTTAAGGTTAAGGTTTGTAGAAGATAACAGTAAAATGGTGTTTTTTTTTAAATGGTATTTTGCTACCAGAATCAATTGGATTTAATTGGATGTTAAGTTATTATTAAGTTACCTACTTTTATTGAGTTTTGAGAGAGTAGTATAGTTTCTCGCAATTTTCTACGAGCCAACTGAAAAAGACATCGATGCGAGACAATATTTACAGATGATGATGATGGTTATATTTGCAAATGATGATGATGGTTATATTTACAAGATTTTTTTTGATATTTTTTTAAAATTATTACTATTAAAAAAAAGTGAAATGGTGTTGAAGTGTCCCGTTTGCCCCCAGCGGCGCTCTCCTCCACGGAATCCCTCTCGCCCCCGCTGTCGGAGGCGTCCCGCGCGCCGGCCCTGCAGCGCTTGCGCCGCTTCCTGTCAGCGCTGCAGCAGTTTGCTGCTGACGTAGGCGCGGACGCGGGAGAGAGGGTCCGACAGCTGATTTACAACTTGGTGGTGAGTGCTGGTGTTTTTGCTACTTTATTTTTAATTTCATAAAGCCAAGGCTGCATCCTGTGACGCGTCTTTCCATTCTATACATGACCGGAACGCAAGGGTGTGAAACTAATAGAGTATAGTTTGGAAATAACTCTTTACTAAGCTCTTCCAAACTGCGAGTATACGCGAGCAGACTATGTGACGTTACAGAAATACCATTTTGCCAGCGATCCTTCTGCATCTTTCTCCAAAGTCTTTATTTGAATTGGTTGATGAACGGAGGACACCAATACACCATACTACTTTTTCATCATACCGGTCCTCCTCCTACTCCTAGGACCTACGATTATTTATCAGTCGAGAAAATCTAACCTTCAACCAATTCAAATTAATTATTCATTTTGCATTACTGAAAAGTACATGAGGACGTAGTCGGTCTGTAACGATGACGTTTTAGCAAAAATAAATAATCCTCTAACTCCCCAGTCAGGGACGCTGAACATCGAGGAGTTCCAAGCGGGAGTGCAGGAGAGCACCAACTACCCTCTCCGCGCGTCAGTCCCGGGCTTCCTCCGCGCTCTCCTGCCGCTGGCACAGAGGGACTTACATGCACGAGCTCGGAGAGCTAAACAGGTGAGGATACACTACACTATCATCATCATCATCATCAGGTCATTGAGTATTCACTGCTGGGGGAAGACTCCCTAGTTTACCAGAGGCAAATGGAAAATTTGAAATTTTGGGTAGTCTTGTCTCAATTGGAATCATAAAACATGATCTTCGTAGCATCAACGAAGAGCGAGCGTTGAAGATCGTCGATAACACCACCAGACGCCTCCCCTTCAGAAGGATTAAATCTGGACTATAGTCTGGTCTGCGAGCACGTAGAATTTTGTCCAATGACCCCAAGCTACCCATCCTTATCGCTCGTGCGTAATTATGTTTCTGTCGCGCTCGCACACTCACTGCAGGCGCTCGTCGCATAGTCGCGACAGCAATATAATTACGCGCGAGCGATAAGGATGGGTAGTTTGACATTGGACAAAATTCTACGTGCTCACAGTCCGGGCTTTAGTCGGGCGGGAATTTTCAGATGGTACCAATATTTCTTCCGCAGTCATGTCTTAAGTCACCCACGGAAAGTGTGGGATCCTATTCTACTCTACCGGTACTGACTGACCTCTGGCAGGACATGAATTCACAAAATTTCGCTTACCAGGGGATTCTCTTGACCACTGAGCTACAGTGACTCAGAGACAAACGAGTAAGCTGTCGTTTAAAATTCATATTAATGCTCAGAGCATTAGGTAAAGTTCTTTAAACCATGATAACGTACTAGACCTAGAAGTTTATCACTATCTTTTGCCTTTTGGTCCACTAACAGTCCAGTTCTCGCCTACCGACCTGGTATTTTGTTCCACTAACTCCCTACTCTCTCCACAGACTCCCCTCCAGTACATCAGGTCGCACGAGCACCTCATCCTGGAGTCAGGAGGCGACGGCAGCGACATCTTCGCGACGCCCCAGCCTGCCGGCGAGACCCTCAAGCGAAGAGCCAGTGAACCGTAAGTGATTCCCAAGCTACATCACCATCAGGTAGTTTAGTCTCTCATCCTGGAGTCAGGAGGCGACGGCAGCGACATCTTCGCGACCCCTCAGTCTGCCGGCGATACCCTGAAGCGAAGAGCCAGTGAACCGTAAGTGATTCCCAAGCTACATCACCATCAGGTAGTTTAGTCTCTTATGCTGGAGTCAGGAGGCGACGGCAGCGAAATCTACGCGACGCCCCAGCCCGGCGAGACCCTCAAGCGAAGAGCCAGTGAACCGTAAGTGATTCCCAAGCTACATCACTATCAGGTAGTTTAGTGTCTTATCCTTGAGTCAGGAGGCGACGACAGCGACATCTTCGCGACGCCCCAGCCTGCCGGCGAGACCCTCTAGCGACGAGCCAGTGAACCGTAAGACCTTATCATTTTATCATCATCAGGTCATTTTAGTCTTCATTGCATGAGACTGAGCAGTAATGTACCAGAGGCAAATGGAGGATTTGGATCTCGCCATCGCGGCATCGATGGCCAGTGGGTGGATGGTAAGGCGAAAATAGCCCAAAGGTGTGTCAGTATCGGTGTTCTGTCGTCGGCTGGGACCTCTACTAACACAAGCGTACAAAAATTATATTTAATTGAGATGCGTTAAGAATCTTGAATCTTCTCATACTGCCCCAATCTGCCCATGTAGACAAAGATTCTTAGCAAAGAAACGTGCATTAACCTATGTTGGATACGTTAAAAAATATGGGAAAGTTAAACTAAATTGAGCATCATCCATCCCTACTCAAATCAAAATCAACGCATTCTAATCCCAACCGTCAAGCTCTTTCGTTTCCCATCCCGCACAGTACCTCTAGTACGAAAAACTTTCGAGTTCGTTTCGTTGCGTATTCAAAGTGTCATCGAAAAATTTTGTATGAAAAATTAAACAGCGCCCCCTAGGGCGGCTATAATATAGGGGGCGCTGTTTAATTTTTCATACAAAATTTTTCGATGACACTTTGAATACGCAACGAAACGAACTCGAAAGTTTTTCGTACTAGAGGTACAGATTGTAAACCAATCAAAAGTTCGCAAACGAGTTGAAAAATCATTAGCCGGCAGCGCCGCCGCGGGACAATCGCGAACTATCAATAATCGCAGGTGCCTGTTGTGGACAGGTAATTTGTGCCGCCCCCGCCTCCCCTGAACCCACACGTAGGGATGTGACTCACTTGCTAAAGGAACTGGTATGACGATACCGGGAAATTGGTACCATTTAATATTTTTTCTTTGTTTGAACTTGGCGTTTGTTAAGTGGATAGTAATAGTATTAGTAACTGTCGTTTGTTAAAGAATAACACAAACCATATGATTATGTACAGGAAGAGACTAAGAATTTTATTAATTTTGATATTTTAACGCCTGATGATTTAGTGCAGGCAATTGCTACTATGTTTTCTTTTGCTATTCTTATAATATCTTTAACCAGCAATCGTTATTTACTTAACTAACACAAGAATATATAGTTAAGTTTTTCTGTAAAGCTCTACAGAAAGCCTAATAAATAATCATCAAAAGGAAAAGAAGCTTAAAATTGTCTAGGTAAGTGTCACATATTAGCACTCAATAGTAGCGTTTAACGTGGTAGTTTAAAACCAGATAAAACACGTTATTCGATAGCTGACAACACAATTTCAGTTCTGTAAATCACACGAATCCCGTTCACGCGATACCAGAATCACGGCCCTTCCCTACCCGTCACCTGTCACGCACAGTCACATTTTGTCGCGGCCGCGATTGTTCGAGTAATAGCCAGTCGATGGCGACTCCTCTGCGACCTGTCGAGGGCTGTCATTGCGGTCACCGTGATGCTTTTGAGCTTTTCGGGGTGGACTTTATCGATATTACATGAGAGAAAAGCAGTACTGCCAAAATACCTACGACCCAATAGTATAAGTACCTACTAACAATGACTCATTTCATCAAGGTACTCATTGCTCAAATATGAATTACTTACTATGATTGTCGTTTAGTTGTCTTTTATAATCCGACCGACCGCGACACATCGATACTAGGGCTTGAATACCGGAATTCCGGAATTTCGTAACTCCGGAATTTCGGATAGATTTTTTCCGATATTTCAATTCCGGAGCTGAAGCTAATATCGTATTCCGATATTGAAATTTTTCATAAATTATTTTAAGTTTTCAATACGTTTAAGTATCAAAATAGGACCTTAGATAAGGAAGAGATTATGTATTCGAAACCTTATTACTAATAATATTAAAGAGGCAATAGAGCAAAACCAAAGCTCCAAAATGTTCGCTTGATACAAGTCTAATGGGCGAAGCCAGCTGAAGACAGCGGATGATAGTGTAAATTCAACAAAAGCTGAGGGTTCTGGGTGATATCGAAAAGTTTTTAAGGACAGCTAAACCTCGGTCAATAAACCTGTTAATAGCTCAGTCACAGGACAGTTCCAAGAGCTAAGCTAACTCGACACTATACTGAAGATATCCCGGACATCAGCCTATACGAGATTAGGATGACTCTCAAACAGCTAAAGAACAACAAGGCACCGGGTGATGACGGAATAACCTCGGAGCTTCTGAACGCGGCGGGTGATAAGCCGATACTGAAAGTCCTTCAGAGACTGTAACTCCATCTTACTCCAGGGAATAATGCCAGAGGCACGGACCAAGGCTTGGTGTTGTTTTTCTTCAAGAAAGGGGTAAAAGCCTTATTAAGGAATCACAAACCCATCTGGGTAACTGGCTCTGAGTCATGTCTACAAGCTGTTTTTGAGAGCCATCACAAATAGTCTCGCGCGTAGGTTCCATGACTTCCTCGAGAGGCTTTACTCTCGAGGAAGCCGGTTATCGAAAAGTTTCACTTGCCTATATGCCAGGCGTTCTTAGGCTATGAGAAGGTCTATGAGCCTGGCTAAGCACGAGGGCAAATCCTCTACAGCGAGCTGTGACTGTGAGGCAGGGAGATGTAATAATACGTCGAATTCAACTCGGCTGGGCAGCATTCGGGAAACTACATAACATCTTTTCGACCAAAACACCTTAGTGCAAAAGTCTACAATCAGTGTGTGCTACCAGTAGTGATTAAATACGGTTGGGAAACATGGCCTCTTACTATAGGCCTTATAATAAGCTGCAAAGTTGCACACCATGGTATGGAGAGTGCTATGCTCGGTGTTTCTTTTCGAGATCGAACCAGAAATTAGGAGATTCGTAAACGAACTAAAGTCGCCTGACATATTATTATAGCGATCGGATTAGCAAGCTAAAGTGGCAATGGAAAGGGCACATAGTACGTAGAACATCAAGGTTCTGAAGTGGAGGCCACATACGTGTACGTGTTTGTCTGGAGGCGCTTTCTTTTGTTGGCCGTTTGGTATAGTGGTTTGAAAGGGACTACTATTCCGGAGGTAGCGGGTTCGATTCCCGCACAGTACAAACATTTGTGTGCATGAACATATTTGTTTGTATTGGACTGGGTGTTTTCTATGTATAATGAGTATGTATTTACAAAAAAAAGTATTTAAGTATGTTTATATCCGTTGTCTAGTACCCATAGTACAAGCTTTGCTTAGTTTGGGACTAGAAGCGCAGTGTAAAATGTCTAAGGATATTTATTTATTTTTTTAACCAATTCCGGAACTAGAACCGGAATTCCGGAGTTGAGTGCCCAATATCGGAAATCAGTTCCGGAGTTGAAAACTATCCGATATTGCAAGCCCTAATCGATACAATACAATAAACCGTGAACCTGACAATTTCCAAAAAGCAAACAATCTGAAGAATAAGATTTTGCTAATAGAAAACACCAGGCGCCAAGAAATATGTACGTCTATTTCACATAACGTCATTTAGGTCCACAATAAATAGTGCCAGCTGCTTCAAATTTTAAAATACGTCGCACCATAGTCGACGCCATTATTAGTTCGACAAAACACGCGGCGCCAAGCCCCTGTTTAGCAGTTTATTATCATTGCGCCATTTGGCCAGCCTGGCCGGCGATTTAAATTCCGTGGCCATTCGTTATGGCGGGTTGTGGGCCGGATTTATGGGAACATGGCCAGGGGCCGGTGTTTGTGGCCGTCAAACGCTGCATCAGGCTTTGGGAGCCCAGAGAAAAACGGTTGGCACTGGACAACCGAAAACAGCGATGTAAGCGAGCTTATGTGATAGGGTAATTGTTATGAAGACTACTAGTAAATAACGAATGTTTAGTATGACATGATAGGGTAGAAAGGGCTTTTGGAAAACAATATAGATTTTCAAACAAACGCTCTTCATTATAGCAAAGCTATGATTAATCTTGTAGACATCACAATGAGCTCACATCACACTGTCTTAAAGACAGATCTGAAGTTAATATCCAAATGGAATCAAAATGACCTAATTACTTCATAACGTCAAATGAAGAAGAAACTTACCTCAAATTTTGATGGCAATCATAAAAAGTCTCAAAGAATCGATGAAGTATCAGATTTAAGAGAGATGTAGACTTTACGATTGCGTTCAGCGATTTAGAGGCTCGTTTTAAAGAGCGCCTGACGGTTTAGTGCGAGCAATTATCGCGATCTGAAGTTTGCTGGCGGCGCATGGCAGGCGCTATAAATGTTAATAGCGTTGACAGACGACACTGCCAGCTGCTGCCCGATCGGAATATAATACTTGGGAGAGTTATGGAAAAACGCAATCTGGTGAGACTCTTAGGAACTCTAATTTATTATTGTTAAATTAAAAAAGTTTGTGGTATTTGGTTATAACATTAAACAACTTTTTTCTTAAGCTTGAAAAACAGCAACAACTGTTTATAGTTGAGTAAGTAAATCAACACGCAAGAAAGAAAAATCTAAAAGAGAAACAAATTAAGACATTCGTAAGAAAATCCGCAGTTTCAATCTGTTATTAAATCGTTCGCTCATCAACCAAAATTCTTTACCCAAAATTACCTATTCTAAACAATATCAAAGAGAAAATTGTTTCTTGATTCTAACTCCGAGTTTTGGGTCCAAATGCCCACAATTAATCAGAAGTTGCGCAAAGCGTTCAACGCACCACATGTCCCGTGTAGCGCCTGGAGGTTTGCAATTACTTAGTGATTTAACTTCTGCTGTACTAATTGCTATTGCGGAAAGGCAGGCGCTGCGCTAATCTTACTCCGAAGATTGTTTTGCAAAATAGTTGGTAATTACTACTGTGTTTAGTAATTGAATTCTAACTATTCTAACTACTACTACTGATACGTTTTCTTTAAATAGGGATGTACATTATAACATCATTTGCTAACATTAAATACCTACGTATCCTATTTGATTTCTCACTTGATTTTGCGTTTTATTTTTGGTGGAATTTATTTATTTGTTAAGTCTACCCTTTTTAATGCACTCATTCCCAAAACGTACATAGATTACCAGGTATAACAGATTTTAGTATACCTAAATTTAATGTTACACTATAGACATACGAGTAAGTTATATGTTGAAAATTTTGAATGAGGTTCCTCCTTTACTAATTTCAAAAATAATAATAGCGGGTACCTCAACTGTCGGTATTTATGAGGATTGATAATTCCAAGTTACGTAAAATGTTGTGCAAAGTTTTGTACACTAATTCCAAGACCTGTTGGCTGCAGAGAGGGCGGAGCTTCGGATTATTAATTTATATCGGCGATTGCAGCGGAGACCTGCATCGATTGGTGTGTGGGCCAAGTGAAGAGAGGAAAGCTTCGAGCCAAGAGAAATTGGTTAACATAATTTAAAATGGCATTGATAGAGTTTATGGCATTATTAGACCATCATCAAATAGTTTTAACTACTTTCTTCAATCGACTCACATTCAGTCAGTCATTTACGCTTGAAGCACAGATTATTTACGAGTGATTATACTCCTAGAGTGCAAAATAAATTTTGTCGAATTTTGGTTTAATAAATAGAGACTAGATTTTTATATCATGTAAAGTTAAAAATATTATAGTATCCAACGTAAAGTATTGAGTAAATACTCATAATTTACTATTGATTTGAGATACTTAAATCTTCCGAATTGCGATGATTCTTCTGTGCTCTACATTAAGATTACTTATTACGTCTAAATAAAAATAAAGATTTGAGAAACTTTCCGTGTCATCCGCCATAATCTTTTGCCTTCGCCACCTATAAATATTAATACCCTCCGCAGTGTTTGGCCAAACTTGGCATTGTCTTCATTTGTTCAGTCGTTTGTTCTTTGCTCTGAATTGAATCCACTCTTTGAACTGGTATTCGTTCCATTGAAGGCTTCGCCGATTGGTTTCTGCTGATGACACAAGCCTACTTATATTGTTTAAGTTAGGTTTGTTTTTTGGTTGATAATTAGTTATGAGAGGTTAGGTTAGTTTTATGAATAGAAGGCGCGCTAAAATTTCGCACTTCGAGTATTTATTATGGTATCAATACCGAAGGCTGATGTTCCAAACCCTACTTATTATTTTCGGACGGTCATGTGAAAAATACTTATATTATTCTGTGATACTACTTACTTTTAATCTACTGTCATCTATTGGCAGAAGGAGAAAAAATAGAATAAAAAAAACATGTCACATCGCGATTCGCGATGTAGGACTCAGTGCGCCATCTTACATTACAATAAAACTTTGTAGCATAAAGTTTGTTACTATTGTGATTTTCCCCACTGATTCTCAAACTTCTCTTCCAGGTTCTACGACGCCCAAACCAACGGGTCTCACGAGGACTACGCCCCCATGGCGAAGCGGCCGCCCCCCTCCAGCCTGTTTCTGAACCCCTCACCCTTCCTCTGTCCCCTGCCAAGCAACGCCAGTCTGTTCGACTATGCGCCCCCTTACCACGCGTACCATACTCAAGGGGAGAGCGCGTTTGAACGTAGAGATGGTGAGTGGAGTTGCTAGTGTTTTATGGTTCTCAAACTTTTAATGGAGTGGCCCTAAACAATACTTTTGGTTCAAAATTAGTACTAAAGACACGATTAGTGATGTCCGAACATTATTGAAAACCCAGTACCTACATGAGCAAATCATTAACTATTCTGTAATTATTAGAGCAATACTTAGTTTTGTATAGCTGTGCATAAAACATAAGATCACGGAGTTAATTTACTATTTTTAGTTTATTTATTTACTCTTCTTTGCCTGGCCCATTCCCATTTTATTTGGGGTCGGCCCCCTAATCATGTGTCTCCAGGGGGCTCTTTCCTGGGATGTCTTTTTGTTGACTTGTTATTTACATATTTACTATAGTATATTATTTATTATAAAACAAAGGAAAGGGAGAAAGTAGGATTTCTTTTTTAATTCTTACGCAAAAGTGGACAGAATTTGACGAACTTTCCTAATTTGAAAACAATTAAGTCTTGCAGAAAATAAATAATTCTTATTTTTAACTGTCTTTTATAGGGGGCATCTCAGTCCGCGACGTGTCATCAATGAACGCGTCATTCTCCGAGCCCCGCTCGCTCGCAGCGCCCCCTGGCGGGAAGGGCGATGACGAGTGGAAGAACATCAACACCATGCTCAATTGCATCCTCAGCATGGTGGAGAAGACTAAACGGGCGCTGGCTATACTGCAGCAGAGAGGTTGGTGATCGCGACTATTGTATAGGTCATAGATTCTCAAAGTTGTGAAGAGGAGCGCCTAGTAGGGGGCTTCTTTAAGTCTTTCTTTACAATAGAAAATAATTTTATTTAGCTTAATTGGCCGTTTGCTTTCAACAGTTCCAACAGAGTAGAGTAAGACTATCCTTTTTTTAATCTTTATTTATTTGGAGGCTTTTGTCTATTAGGACACGACAGCCCCATCGAACCTTAAACTAAATTTACAATTTAATGGATTTCACGCCAGCGGGAAGGACTATCCTAAAGTGAGACACTTTATAAAGCGGCTAAAAGATAAATTCTCCATTTTTCTCTAGTAAAGTAGAGAGGGTCGTGCTCTAGCAATGAAGTCTACATGATCTGATGATGAATCAATAAATGAATTGGTAAAAATAAACATTTATCAGAACGCACCTAATTACAAGATATTCCTAATCAACAACAGTCTTTTTGGACTACAAGACCACCCCATTTTCAACTCGACAGGTGTAGAACCAACAGAAAGCAACGACATCAAAAGGGCCGCCAGCGAGATCATGGCGGCGGCCGTGCGCCAGACGGAGGAGCGCGTGGCTGAGGTGCGCCGGCGCGCCGAGGACGCCGTCAATCAGGTGAGGTATCTACTCATTTATTATTGAGCTAATAACGAGATCAGATTTTTCCCGCAGCTTTTCTGGCGTTAAACTTTAAACCCTCGTTTCATTTGTCATAATAACTATATCGGCGTGCCTTTCACCGCAATCTGTTCAGTGGTTTGAGTTGTGCACTGATAGATCAGTCAGTTCCGTAACGGTACCCCATAAGAACACAGATTAACAAAGGACATTTTCTGATCACCATCCTTCTCACACATAGCGAAAGAACCATGGAAGAAACCAAGATGAAACTGAAAATACAAAGACGGGCATAGCTGGTCAGGAGAATGACGAAATCTTAAGTTACTTGGTACAAATTGAAGAGATTTTGATGTACGTTTTCGGACGGACCAGTTGCTGCGAACAATGGACGTTATTCGGTTGAAACGAACAAACTAATATTGAACGACACCGTTTAAAAGTATACTTTTTCTTGTTAATAGGTGAAACGCCAAGCCCTGGTGGAGCTCCAACGAGCGGTGGGGGCAGCAGAAGCGAAGGCCTTGGAGTTGGTGGCGGCCGAGAGGAACAAGGTGGAGAGACACCGCCACAGCCCGCCGCCGGGGAGAGACCTCAGTCCCAGCGCCGCTGCTCAGCAGAATGTAAGTCAAATAGTGGTAAAAACCTTGGCATGGGCGTATCCGAAAATCCGAATCCGAAATCGCTTTGAAGGAGCGAAGTCAAACGTTCCATGTTTCCATGTAAAGCATCTCTGCTCTATCTAAGCTAGATTGAGTTGGACACAGCCAAACATTCAAATCTGTTAAGAGGCTTAATCTGTATCAAGCTAAAAATAAAAACAACTACGACAAAAAACGACGCTGAAAAAGAATAAAACAAGATTTTCAGAATACTGAACTGAACGAAGTTGCCAATGTAGTTGCATAGTAATTTTCATGTTTGGAAAACCGCAGTCACACGTTGTCAAAGTGCTCGGCTGAACCATTTAAGAACCTAGTAAGGGACATGTTTTCAGATTTTCGTTTTTTATCATAAAGCTACATAATATTAAGGTACCTACCGAATACAAAGACAGAAATTGCGATCAAACAACTAGAAGCCTAAAAGGCAAGGGACTCCAAACCTAGTAACTACACCACAAACCCAATTCGACCATTTTAAAAAACCAGTAAGTAACATAAACCATTTCGAAACCTAGTAAGTGCATGAACATACTAGGTTTTATAATGGTCAATGTGCCTTACTGGGAAATGAAAATACGTGTCNTGTAGTGTTTGTATCTACGTACTAGATAGATACAATACGCTGTCTCACGTACACAAGTGATAGGCAGTCACGTGACGTCGTTACGAGTGGGACGAGTCAGTCGTACGGCAGACGCCGGCGAGTACGGACGTGCCGCAGTGAGACGCTTGGTGTGACGGTGAGCCAGTGTGCACATTTACAAAACGGTACATAATATTACTATTCACGAGATAAAATATGTCCCCTGCTCGTCCAATCCGGACTACATTCACTTGGAGGCCATATTCTCGTAAATGTTGTAATGGTAGACGCCATGGCGAGATGTTTTCTGACTATTTTACGTATTTAAATATGAGGCGACGTCGGTGGAATATCATTTTTCCAGAGAACTATTTGAAATGTTTAGTAGAATGGTGAATTTTGTGGAATTTATTTTCTTATTTGGAGCAGATATTTGATAAGCCTACAATATTTTTTTACTGTTATATTTTATATTCCATCTTCTAGGTATTCGTTTCTGTACTAGTAAGAAATTATTTAAATTGTTTGGTGAATATTTTTTATTCTTTTCACTGTATTAAAAGTATTATACCTACGACTACATTTTAATTAAAATAGAGAAACACGGGTACTATCGCGAACATTTTTATATGAGTTACAAAAGTTATTTAGACTATATTTTAGTAAAAAAAATACTTATCACGTGACACACTCCATGATAGGTGCAGCGACACAATGAATAATAGTTCCGAAATAAAACACCGCATTCGTTATAATCTGCACCCAATTCGGGCCATCACCTTCGGTAGGGCGCTGTCAGCCTTCACAGCCATCAAACTTTGTCCATAAATAATATTCGTAGGCCCGAAAACTAAATTCGTGGTGAGCCTACTTGTACATTCACTCCTACATGCTTATCTACCTTATTACAACTGACATAGAGTCCCTAATCCCTCCAGCACGCCGGTACATTTATCAAAGCAAAGCTATTAATTCCAAAGACAGCGTATTCAAAATGCACGCGAACCAGACACGCCATTTCAATGCGAATAGGTATAATTTACTCGGCAATTAGCTAAATGTTAATTGCATTGTCTAATTAAAACAAAACATCGGAATGGAGCGCTGTCGGCCATTATACGGTTGTACACGATTGTACGTGTGATTATATTGAGCTGTGACTGTAATATGTTACAAAGAAATTAAAATGTTTGTGTACACGTACAGATCGCTACACTTTGAGCTAAACATCGTGTAAGTAATAAGTCTAAAACCTGAAATCAGTTAAAATAGTAAGACACGGGTCTTAACGCGACGTTTATTAATGAGTTACATTATGTACTCACGGCTTGACGTTTCGGCTGCGATGCTACAACCGTGGTCACAAGCAGACTGGCGGTTCGCGGCGTCGTCCGTGTTTTACTATTTTAGTTGAATTGGAACGCGAAAGTTTAAAATCTGAAATCAGTTGTCTCAGAATCTAATAACCCTCCTTCTGGCGCAGTCAGGTAAATAGTTTAACTACATTTTGATACGAGTATATTATCCTACTTACATACCTATTAAGTACTTTACCAAAAATCACTTTTTCATAAGCAAAGGCAACACATTATATCCCGTAAACTTTTACCAAAATACCGCAAACACGTATTATATTTACCGTTAATATTACATACGTTCACGCACGATTAAAGTGATTTCACCTATCAATTAACACCTCCCGAAAATACAGGCGAAGTGCGTTTCTGTATCATTATGTCCGACAGTAATATATTAAGAGCCGCTCCCGAATCAGCAAGTTTTCCGATTAGTGGGCTCCAAACATTCCCCCCCTCATTTCCTACCCCCTGCCGTGTTAGGGCGGGTCTACATCGACGGTAGCGGAGCGGAGATAATATTTGAAATATGACTTACAAGGTCTATCCGCAATTGCCGTTCCTGCAACTGTGGGAACAGGGACTAAAAATTGATTACTGTACTCTGAATCAGTAACACCATAAATACCGCATCAGAATATAAATGTTGTTACGTAATAGGACTTAATACAATCGCATAAGATGCCACGGTGTTTAAATAGATTATATCGGTTCAAAAATCAATCTAACTAAACCGAAAATCTGATTTGCTGAAACTTTGAAAAGTCATTATGCTGTTATCATCTGCACTTGCAGACCAAAACGCTAACATAGTCTAAATTATTGGGCATTCTATTTTATCAGAATCCGAAGCAGTAAACAACATGGTATAGACTTATAAAAGTAAAGAACTCTAGATTCTTGTACTATCAACATCATCATCATTTCAACCACAAGACATCCACTGCTGAACATATGCCTCCTCCAATGGTTTCCACATCGCCCGGTTGGTAGCGGCCTGCATCCAGTGCCTTTCTGCTACCTTTACCTGTTTTTGTTGTAGCCAAAGTAGTTATTATTTTTAACTGCAAAAAAGCAACAATTATTCATAACCTGTTTTTATAACACTACCTTCACCATTCCTTCGCCAGTGCGCACCGCTCCTTACATTCATACCGCGGAAATTGTAAATCTTACGACTCTGGGATTTATTAACCATTAGTATCGGCAAAGGATGGCAATCGCTGATTGTTTACAACCGTACTAACTTGAGGCATTATCTGTTGATTAATCAGTACTAATGTTTTGCCAGATAGTGTCCACGGAGTTTGGTGGGAAACTGGAAGTTTTAGCCGCTTTTTTGCTGTCGATATTTGTCGATTGGTTGTATTACAACGCTTAACCAAATTGCATCATTTTCGTTTGTTAGTAAGTAAATTTTTTGATCGTAAGACGAGTCTTCATTTTAGTTTTTAGGGTATAAATAAGAGAACTAGTATCAATTCATAACTTTATCTTTGGTATGTAACATCTACCCATGTTTATTATAGCCATTAAGAACAAATACATACAGGGTGTCCCAAAAACAATGGATAACCCTGTAACCATCGATAGGCCTCGCCATGATCTCCCTAACGTCCATTTTTGACCCCAGTAAAAATATCACCGTTTTCAAGATTTTTAAGTTTATGTGCATTTTTAGAAAATTGCCACCTGCGATTACTTTTTTTCATGCCATTTCTACAAATGAGGATACTTTTCAATCTAGTTTTTTTCCTTATCACAAGGGATAGTTGAGCTATCAAAAGAAAAGATTAAAATTCAACAAACTAGTTTAAAAGTACGAAAATTTTAAGAAATTGCAGAGAAGAAGGAAAAATTAATTCATTGTCTTGCACTTTTGATCNCAAGGGGTGATTAGTGATCGATACTGATGCCAAAAATGCAATCAGTTAAATTTTTGTCCGTCTGTCTGTCTGTCTGTATGTTCCAGAAACAAAAACTACTCGACGACTTTTAAGCTTGGTACAATTATTCTTCGTACTCCTGGGCAGGTTATAGTATGCTCAGGAATTCCCACGGGAACAGGAATTAGCGGGAAAATCCTTTTGTATGAAAAATCTAAACCGCTTAAGTTAGACGCTTGAAATTTGGCATGCAGGTATCTTAGTAAACTTAAAGCTTAGTTACAACAGGATATTGCAATGCATAGCACCACTGCGAAGCCGGGGCGGGTCGCTAGTAGTAAATAAGTAGATATTTAAGTAGGTAATAAATAAATACGGATTTTCATGTTTTAACCGCATTATTTGTAAAAAGCTTCTATTATAGTATGCAGGATACAGTTTCAGTTGACGGATGGCCGTTAACGAGTTTCTGATGATCAGACTTCAGAAGCTCTTGGGCCTGTTTTAGGCGGCCATTTTGTATTGTGGTGTAGATTTAGCAACTACTAGCTTTCCGTCCGCGGGGAATTTCGTTTGTTAAATTTTCTTGAATTTTCTTTACTATAAACCTCACGGAGCCCGAGACCTTTCCAACGAATGCAAAACCGTGGAAATCGGTTCGTGCGTTCTGGAGTTATAGCGTCAGGGAGGAAAACCCGACTTATTTTTATATAGTAGATTTATTAAAATAAAGATAGAGGCTTCCCATATACTTTAAAATATACAGGTTTCAAGACTTTATTATCATACTAGCTGTGTCTGCTGTGTCCGCGACTTCGTACCCTTTATTCGCATAATATCAGATTCTCAAAATATCAGATTCTTAAAATATCAGATTATCAAAATAGCAGATTCTCAATATAGCCAAAGTACAATCAAGACAACATTAATTATTTTTTAAATCAAATTTATTTTTAAATATGAGACAAACACTTATTGAAAACAAAAAAGATCACCATAGATTTAAAATTATATCCAGCGGCAATCATATAGTTCCAAAATACTGAACTGTCCTATCCATGACATTGACAGTGGGGCGCCACTGTCAATACCGGATCGCTGATTCCGATTTTTGCCATGTTGGAAACCATATAG